TTTTTCTTTCCGCAGTTCCGACAATTCCTTGTTCGTTTCGTGCATGTGTATCAGCTCGACGCCGTAAATAATGCCCGCGTTGCGGTCGGGGGTCGGTTCGAGGCCACAATTGCGCTCACGTGAAATTGTATTTAAACTTCTCTTCGTTATTTACGCTCGTTCGCCGCGTTTTAACAAACGTGCCGTCGAGCAATTACAAATTTTTGCCAAGTTTTTAATCAAAGAAACCTTCGCCATCGCCATCACCTTCGCTCTTGAGAAAAGGGCTCTGTTAAGGGGAAAATAGCAGAGGGGAGAGAATATCGCGATAGCATAACCACGCTGGTGAAAATTATAACTTCGCCAATTTCGCAAATACCTCTGCTCTGGCAAACGAGAACAAGTTCCGTGTCGATAACGCAATTAATCTTCCGGTTTCGTACGTTCCCGTTGGTTCGTTGCGCCGTAATTATCGTTACGCTGGTGTTTTCCTAATTAAAACAACGTATTATAATTACGGAATTATGTTACGTTGCCAGAGGTACGAAGGAGAAGGGTTTACGACCTTTTAAAAATTGATCTCGCGACTTGATAACGCTTAACGGAATTGTTGCGTCGTTGATACCAGAAATTCGAGGTGTATTAAAACTTCGTTGTTGGGTTAGATGTTTTTTTAGTTTGTTTAGATGTTTGTCCTTTGGTTAGACCAGCGGCCGTAGCCATGCATATCTGCCGATTCCCGTTCGATCACCGAAGTCAAGATGCACTGGGCGGCGACCGTAAGAAAGATGGGTGACCGCTCCACATCCGTCTGTGGAAGCCCGGTGCCTGCTGGTTTTTTCGGGCTGAAATTTCACACAGACGTTAGTTCCATCCTTACTAACGTCTAGAAACTGAAAAAGTCCAAGAGCAAAAATCCTTACCGCCAAGTTTGAGGTTCAAGCATGATCGGGCGTCCTCGCTCATTCTCCGGCTTGTTCTGTCGGTTGGTGGTTTCGATAGAGAGTAGAAAATTGGTCTGATAGAGGTATAAGCTGTAAAGCTGAGGTACTCTGAGTCCTTCTAAGGACGACCGACACTAATTGTCCTTTGGGTTAGATGTTGCAGATGTTTAGCTGAATTTGGATTGTTCGCTTCGTGACTATGTGTCTCGTGCCCTCGTCTTACAGTGATTGCCTGTTTTCAGGTGTGTAGATGTATATATAGGAATTAGGTTGGTTCTGATCGGTGGTTGTGTTATGGGGGTGGAAAACGTGGTGTGTTCGGCTATTGGTCGACGAAAACTGTGACCTTTTGGGAGACCGAATTTTAGTTTTATGGTCCCGAGTGTTTTGGGACCTATTGTCCGATTGTCGCGCTGCTGCGTCCACGGGGGGTATATTGCGGTCTGCCGAACGTCGGCACCTCGGTCTGGTGCCTAAGTTGTTTATTTCTATAATCCGCCGAACCGAGACTTCGTTGCGTCCTAATCAGGTCGCAACAGGAATGGCTGTACAATTTTTCCCGCGCTTTTCCGCACCGTGAAACTCGTTAACTGACTTTCATTAGTCGCGGTGTAACCGTCTCACTGCGAATGATCTACAACGTCGGATCTGAAGGATGTTATGAAAATTCGACGAGTTGAGAAACTTGAGGGACTTTCGAGAATTTCGAGATGTCTCCGTACTTCGTTGGACGTTTGAGATTCGAGTGGTGTTTGAAGTTTCGGGAGACCACCGGGAAATTTGAAGATTTTTTTTCGAGTGTATGTACGCGAATTCGAGACGTCTGGATAATTCGAGGAGTTTGAACAAATTACGAAAATTAAACGAGAAATAGTTGATAGTTTGGAAAAGATGTCGAGTAGCTTCGCTTGAGATTCAAGTTGGGGAGAGTGGCGGAATTACGAACATCTAGGGAAAACATTGAATAAAGATGATAACTTCTTTATAGTTTGTGTACAAACACGTGTTGTCTGTTTGTATATTTTTGTAGTGAACTTTGACGAAATTTGAAGATGAAAGGAATTTTTAATGGGAGAACCAAACCGTTGCTGTTCGTGATTTCCTAAGTGTCGTGGGGTAATTACGGAGGCTGCATATTTTTTACAAAAGTCGCATAAATAGCCTGTAGATGTGCTCTGTCCATCGCTGCACTTTTCGTGTGCCCATTCGCAGCAATCGTAGCACATAATCTATTAGCGTTAAACGTTAGTATTAAGATAATTACACGTGCTAGAGCTATGCTTAGTTTACTTTCTTCAAAAAATTAGACGAAGGCGAAGAAAAATCTTGGATAGGTTTCACCTCGATCAGTATGCGTGTCGACTGTTTTGCATTGCATTCGATAGGAGCGATCATGTGGCGCAAGGAGGAATTTTTCGTGCTTTTCTAACACCATTGTACAGGGTGTTTCAGCTGATTTTGACATCTTGATTTTCTCGTTATTATTACTCATAGCGGAAAATGTTTCAGATGAAACTTAAACGGTGTCGAAGGGGGCATATTCTGGTGTTGTTAATTCTTCCATGAGTGGGAAAGTTTCACTTTCATCTGAAACATATTTCGCTTTGAGTAATAATAGCGAGAAAATGAAGATGTCGAAATCAGCTGAGATACCCTGTATATGCGAATTCGCAATTACTTCTGAAGGTAGTTCGAAGTGTCTGTAATAAACGAAGAATCACTGTTCGTCGTAATTCACCTTATTTACGGTGGTATCTCACGAAATAACAGAGCTTCGACGTAGAAGCTAGTCACTCGATTTAACGCGGGGAATATATCAGAGTATTTCGTTGGCCGTTTCCTCCTTCCACCTTTTAATCAGGCGACAAATTAATTCGCCGGGAATTACGGCAGGTAGAAACGTCGGAGACTGCGTCGCGTGGCCAAAAACCGTGCTAATTTATTCCATCTATTAATAACCGTCCGATGCGCGATGCGGCAAGACGTTATCATGGGACAAAACAGGGCGGCAAACATTGACTTATCACTATACGGTGTCTCATGAAGGATTCAGGCGCAGGTTATCGCGAGACAGCGTTCCCAGGACGTCCATTTACAACTTCGAGCTGAGCAAAATGGAAGTGAACGACGTGGAAAATTTACATGGCGCTTTGTGCCGCCACTTGCCCAACTTCTAGCCGTGCTGCGCACACGTAAGCTTGTCAAGTATGGTGAGACGTACCTCTTTGACATAAAGGCGCCGGCTTCATAATTCACGGGAAACTTCCTTCGGGCGCTTCGACTTAGCGATAAAGGAAAAGAAGTAAGTGGGAGTAAAAGTGAGAGAGAAAGACACTCAGAGAGAGAAAGATGATAAGAGAGAGAGAGAGAGAGAGAGAGAGAGAGAGAGAGACAGAAACTGAGAGAGAGAGAGAGAGACTCAGAGAGAGAGAGATGATAAGAGAGAGAGAGAGAGAGAGAAAGAGAGACTCAGAGAGAGAGAGATGATAAGAGAGAGAGAGAGAGAGAGAGAGAAACTGAAAGAGAGAGACAGAGAGACAAAAAGAGAGACAGAGGGAGAGAGAGATGAAGAAAGTAAGAAAGAAAGACACAGAGAGAGAGAGAGAGAGAGAGAGAGAGAAGACACAGAGAAAGAGATGAAGAAATAAGGAGAGTGGAAGTAGGAAGGACTTCGCTAGATTTCCCTCTGTCTCCTTGCAGGAAAATCCTTACGAATTCTACTCAGTATCCTCAAGGAACAAATCGAAGAGGACATTATTCATAATAGCGAGCTCTGAGCAAACGTGGCCCTCTATTATTCACGCGGCCGCATTCTCCGACGTCTAGCAGCAACTCGAAGCCCACGAGAGAAACGTTCGATGGCCTTCGTATGGTATCGACTCGTCGAACTAGTCAGACTTCCGTATCAGACTGCGAAATTTTGTATTAGAACGAAGGGAAATTGTTTTTCTTTAAAGTGCTTTTAGCGTGTTCAACGTGTGTACTTGGAGTTGAAAGTTTATGATTAACGAATATTCCGAGGAAAGTGAGAAATTCTATATGTGAGCTAGCAATTGTGGGTGATGAGGAATTTTCTGCTGTGAAATTCTGCAGAGTTAATTCTAAATTGATCAAATAATTTAATTCGCCAAATAATTTGGATTAAGTCGTATATATTTGGATAACCTGGCTATCAACTCTATTTAACGATTCAATTTCTGACTATTCTGCTAAAATAGCTCCGCACTATTGCAAAACACGAAATAAGCGATAAATTTGTAAATGAGGTTATCAACGCAATAATGACTTAACCTACAATTTTGGGTGAATTGAAATTTCAGCGTAAACCATCTCGTGTACAGAAAAACTTGAATGCTATAGTGACCTAAGGAACCACCCAAAAAGCAATATTTAAAAAAATCATTCCTACTTAATTCAGTAATTTCAGTAAGTCCATAACTTCAAAATTTTGAGGTTAGGGTATACCACTATTGCCCTGATAACCTCAAATTTTATTGTTCCTTAATTTTCAAACTTCTGAAAGTATTTTCAAATATCGAAATACTAAAAAAGAAAGAGCATTTTAATAAAAAAAAAGAAAAAAGTAACTATCCATACCTGCTTCCTTCTGATTCAAACATTAACCAAAAACCATTACCACCGCCATTATCCCCGACAACGTTGACTAACCCACTCACCAAGGATAATTTAAAATTCCATCTAAATTTATCCTTATCAAGGTGCGGCAAACGGTAAAAATAGAGAAGCAGAATCTTTCATCAGACTCTACGGACGCGCGAAACGATCGTGGAAAAAGGTACACGTTTGGCTCTGAATTACACGCGGTTCGGCTCGTTGAAGCCGCGGGGAACATCCGTTCGAAAGTATCCGATGGAAGATAGAGCCCGCGAGCTTTACGACATTTCTGATAGCACCCGCCGTGATTTACAACCGGTCTCGACGGAACGACGTGTTTTCCGCGAAGAAATGACGCGAATCCCGGCAAGCAACGCAGGATACGAATTACTGCCTGCCGGCTAAGGTGGCTGCCGCCACGTAAAACCAGATTCTATTTTCGTTTTTCTCCTCCTTTTTCAGGTACGTAGAGCCGAAAAGGTACTCGTCTAATGGCAGAGATATGACGGTCGTTCTCAGACGAGCCTCGAATAGCCCCACCGACGAGGAATACATGGACGTCTCTTATTACTTCCACGATGGTAAGCCGACTATCTTTGACATCTTTTCAAACCGACACACCGCTGTCACACGGTATACCCCGCTTATAAAGGTATCAGAAATTTTTATCACCTTACACAGCGCTGTTTTCAATTGGATCTTGGAAATTATCGAGCCTCGATAAGTTGTAACAGGTTTCGGATTGATTCTTGAAATTCGTTTAACCGTGAGTTACTTACCTCTGATGGGATCTGACAGAATCAGCTGTAAATTTCGTCCGGTTACTTTTTAATGTGTATTGGAAGAAAGTCAATTTGTGTCATTTTATCAAGTTTAACCCTTTCGTTACTATTGGCGCCTATAGGCGTTTTGAAAATTTTGGCGTTTTAATTTAATGCTTAATTTTATCCTTTACACCAGGAGTTCCCAAAGTTTCGCCTAGATGGGCCAAATTGTAGATTCCAAAATATTTAAGACAATATTATTGGTGACGTACGCACGCACTGACGCCCCGTATCGCAATCGGGTCCCATTTCCACGGTTTATTTAATTGTTCAAAGTTAAAATATCTGATTTCATTCGACGAGAATTGAACAAAGGAGGAAGACTACAAAAATTTCTCCTCTTAAGCTCCCTTTTTCACCTTGGACATTCCCTCAAACATTTAGACCGAAGGAGCGCGCGTGACAGCGTGTAACCAGCATTAACTGCTCGATTATGCGCTTAACAGCCGTGAAACGCAACTGATTATACATACCACGATTCATACGTTAATATGAGTCACGCGTCATCAAATCATGATCAAACTTCACTGCTTCGATTTTGTATAGTTTGTACCTCTCCACACGAAATTTATAACTTGTAGCAATCGCGAAAACGTCTATGACTAAATTCTCGATAATTGCAAACTTACTTTTGCTAACGATACAAAAGAACCTCTGTTATATGAAATAATTGGGGGATGAAAGTGTTCACATAAGAGAACAAGAAGCGTTAAACTCTCTTATGAATAATACTTAAGACGAAATGAAATAAAACGAATACAATTTGTTTATAGATCACTTCACGCATAGAATACAGAATCAAAAAGACAATATTGTTCGATCTTCCTTCTTTTTAACGAAATTAAAGAAATCAAACCTATAGGATTCTTCTTATAAAAACTTCAATATTTGTGAACGATTCGTGAATGAATGAAAATGAGGTCACAATTTTGCATGTTCTTTAACCCCTTAACCTATGATTTCTTTTCTGACTATGCATCTAACTGTCAGCCATTTTCTATTTTAGTACTGTATCAGGTAACAAAGGTATCTGTCACAAATTAATTACACGCTGCAACCCTCAGTCTTATAAATTCAAACGAAAGTTAGGATTACAATGAATTTTTCTTACTAATATAACGATTTTTGTCACATCTTCACCAGAATCTCTGCCACGAGTCTGACACGTTGTCATATGTTAAGGGGTTAGCATCTAACCATAGGTTGTGTTGTAACTCAACGACGGATTTAACCATGAGAGCAGAAAAGAAACACACTGACAGATTTCCTCTGTAGTATATAAAGTTTTATAGGAAAACTATTTACATCACGACACAACGTGGACACGCGTGAAGAACAATTTGAGAAGCGGCCTCTCGCCGCCGATCGTCACTTATTGGAAACCGATAATTGTCCCTCTTTTTGAGTCAGACCATTTAAGGAATCTACTTGGGATAGGGGACTTCACGACACAACGTGGACACGCGTGAAGAACAATTTGAGAAGCGGCCTCTCGCCGCCGATCGTCATTTATTGGAAACCGATAATTGTCCCTCTTTTTGAGTCAGACCATTTAAGGAATCTACTCGGGATAGGGGACTCAGGTAGTGCTCGGAAGATAGATTATTAACGTACAACAGTTTGCTGTTAAAACTATGTATTTGTGAATGAACGTTGTGCAGAGTGCGAAATGTCTAGGCTTACTGATCGGAAAATTGTGTGTCGTGTCGTGTGGTGTTCGCTATTTTATAAACTACGTGTGTGTTGTGATTGTCGTAGGTGTTGGAAGTGTGTGGTGATTGGGGTGTGTCTGGTGGTGGTGTGAAAGTAGGGAATTTGTTCTTACATTTGTTATATTGCTTGTCTAAAAATTGGTGATGTCGAAGGTCTGTTTTATTGCTTAGGGCATGTGGTGTCCAGGTGCGAGAGTCGTCGAATTTTTGGTGTAGTAAAGTAATTTGCCCATGCTGGCTAAGACCTCGCTTTTTAGAAGGTCCTGTCTATTGAAAATAGGCTCGTCGGTACTGCCGAACAACCCAAGCGGCGTCTTTTACGCATGTGACACCCCGTACCGCAATCGGGTCCCATTTCCAACAGGTTGATATAGTACAATACAAAGAATTGCAAAAATTGCTATTATAATGCCTTTCCAGATCACAATAGTACAAAAGCAATGTTAAATAACTTTCTCGTCAAAGAATGAGCTTTTACATCTTTTCAATGTTCCAATTAACTCTTTGCGGTCGAACTCCGGGATATTCACAGCAAGGCGTTTCTACCTTCTAAACGCTCTGTGGATCTTTTGTCTGCAGATACGGGGGAACTCATTTGAATAAAATTTATACGTTTTTTGGGCAATAATCGACCGAGTGCACGCTACCAAAGATAATTCCGACAAGTACGACAAGCATGCCTATGGAAAATAGGACAGCAAAGAATTAATCTCGAGATTCTATCGACTAATTTGTTTACTGCTATTTGAGAAATATCTTTCTAAGCGTTTCATAAAACTTCCCAAAGATCCTTTTCGAATTTTGGATAATATTGTCTAACCTATCTATCCAGATAATTCCAAAATAACTCAATAGGGTGCAACCACTCGCGCTGGAAAGACGTGCCACGCACGTCGAGATGTTTTCGTCCCAGAATTGCCAACGACGAGTTAGATACGTGAATCGTCGGTTATCTTCTCTTTCGCTTATGAGAAATTTTGTTTTTTAAGTTTGTAAGAAAAGAAGATGTAGAGTACAGTCTGTACCACAAGAGCGAGGACGCGATATTTTCGAAACCTGAAACTTTGCTCGCGTGAAGCAAGTATTAATTTACTAGATGTACTTTCGATGTGTATAAAATTTCTTACAGAAAGAATTCATTTTCACAGAGATATCGCGTCCACGCTCTTGTGGAACAGACTGTACGTGCAAGAAACAAAAAAACGCAGAATGCAAGCAACGTCTTGTTGCGTTACGTATCCCAGATTGTTTCGAGATGTATCGCTCTGTACAAAATTAGCGTACATATCTGTGTAAAGTAGATAAAATTTTTCGCGCTGAACTCTGCCGAGTGTTCTCGTTTCAAGTTGCAGCGTAGCATTTGGGCATCCGTGAATTGACTGCCAGCCCAAGTGGTTAAAAGAAGTTTTTCAGTAGACGAGGTGGTTTATGCTGAAATATCAATTCACCCAAAATTGTATGTTATCTTATTGCGTTGATAACCTCATTTGCGAATTGATCACTTATTTTGCAGTAATGTGGAACTACTTCAGCAGAATAGTCAGAAATTGTATCATTAAATGGAATTAATAGCCAGGATATCAAAAAATATATGATTTAATCCACTTTCACATCGGTTCCATATGAACTTTTTTGTTCCTCATTTTTTCATTTTGAAATAAATAGGTACGTGAATGATTTAGTTGTGTTAAATTAATACGTTTAATTTGAAATTTTCTAGAATGGATTTTAATTGACGACCGTTCATTTAGTTGTGTTAATTTGTTAAAAAGGTGTGCTTAGGGCATACACGTTTCGCGCTGAACTCTGCCGAGTCTTCTCGTTTCAAGTTGCAGCATAGCATTTGGGCATCTGTGAATTGACTGCCAGCGCAAGTGGTTAAATCCAATGATTGATCTAGCCATTTCATGTTCTATATTTACATAAAATACTGTAACAAGAAACATACTGTTCATACAATAGAACCTTCACATAACAGCGATTCTTCGGTAAAAGCTCTACAGGTTGTCTCATCTTAAGAAAACAACGTCTCCGATCCACAATCAGAATCTCAGCAAAGTTCGTCTGTGTTCACCTTATACACGTTGCGTGACGACACGCGGTTAATTAAAGGAAAATCGATGTAAAATTTTTCAATTAAAGCGAACGCTAGATATTCGCTCGAATTTCCCGAACGGCGATCGTGACAGGATCTTCCGAGGATTAACCCTCGGCGATCGATCGTAGAACGAACGGGCGAAATCGAGCGGGCGGTATCCACGCGATACGCCAATTATTTTGGCTCCGATTCTTCGTTCACGTGCTTTCCGCGACCGAGTGCTTTGGCCCGGCTGCTAATTACCACCGACTAATTACTGGCCGTTGCGAGTCGACGTATCGGAAGCCAGAGCCCTTAATCGGATGAATATAAATGCGTACGCGGAACGGTAATCCGGAGGCCACGGTTGGCCGATGGCCAAGAACGCGAAACTATCCATAAGGTGCATTTACAGTATGTTAACGGAATGTGAGGTGTAAAGAGAAGAGAGAAAAGGAAGAAAAAGGTGGTCGTGATTCGTTCGAAGGGAACGACGATCGTGAATCTTTTATTGGCCCGATTGTCGCCACTTTTTCCGATTCACCAGTTAACATTTCGCTCGGTTGAGAACTGCGGGACGATGGAGGAGTCGTGTAAGAACCGACAGAGGTGCGGTGTTAAAAAGTTTACAAGGTTTCTCTGTGGTTTTATGATTTATTCCGATGAAAGATAGAATGGAGAATAGGTTCATTTGCTTTCTTTCCTTTTTTCTTTCGGAGAGGATTTTTCCTTTGGAGATTGTCCTTTTACGGGGTAGATATTTGAAATTGAAATTTTACTCGGGTAAATTAGCGTTGAAACATTCAAAAGGGAATATATGTATGTATACTGCGGAGCGTGAGTTTAATTTTGGGATGCTGAAGTGAGGTGTAATTTTGTTCGTTTCGATTCGCTTTTTTTAAATTTTTGTTTTGGGTGAAAATAATTTTAACACCCTAGAAGTTTCCACTCTTGAGTTAACATTCTTG